CACACACACACACACACACACACACACACACCTCTAGTTTTTTGGCAGGTAACTTAGCAATTAGCTGACAGGCGCCCTGTGTCTAATTCAGGGGTGGGGAACCTAAGGCTCAGGGGCCAGATCCAGCCCCCAGCTTGTCTGGAGCCAGCCCCTGAGGCTCTGGGCTCCCCGCAGCCCCCCAGCATTGGGGAGCCCACAGTGCTGCTCCAGCCCCACACCTCTCCCCCCATGGGGCTGGAGCACCAGCGCTGGGTGCCTGTTGTGGAGGGGGGAGCCCTGAGCCTCATGGGCTGAAGTCAGGGAATCCAGACCCATGAGCTCTGTCTGGGGCAGGGGGAGGGAGCAGCTCCACACGCTGCTGCTCCTCCTGCTCTCGGCTGGTGCAGCAAAACGCTACATGGAGGCTTCCCCAACAAAATCTACTAGTGCTGTTCCAGGGAAGGTGGGGGAGTGTCTTTCTGCTTCCTCCTGCCTTGTCAGTGAGGTGGGGTGGGGTGGGGTTTTTCAGGGGCCCCCGACCCATAAAAGGTTCCTCACCCCGATCTAATTCCTACATAAAAGAAATAAAATGTAAATAAACATTAGACCCACTCCGCTCTAATATTAATGTTCTGACATTGTCTAGCAAGTCACTTCAGTGACAGTGGTTAGCCTCAACAATTTAATATACGTTCTTCCTAACTGCAGAGAGGGCGACTCTCAGGACTCATGAGCTCTGTCTAGCTCAGCTCTGGAAGTGGAGTGCCGTCTAGTGCAGGGGTGGGGCAATAAAAGAACCGGCAGCCCGTGGGGTTCGTCCCTGGTGGGCCGCTGCCGCGATGTTTACCTGCACCTCCACAGGTATTGGAGGATCGCAGCTCTGGCTAGCTGGGAACATCTCCCAGCAAAGCGTTCCATAGGCTGACTGTAAATAAATAGTTTGTTAAATCTGCTGCCTATAAATGTAATTGAGTGAGCTGCTTGTGTGATGTTAGCAAAGGAATAACTAACATTTATTTGTTCCATTTTTCCATTCATGATTTTCTAGACCTCTAATGTCTCTCCCCCATCTTTTACTCATATTTTTCCAAGCTGAAAAGTCTTGTTAATTTCTCCTCCTATGGAAGCTGTTCCTTATCCCTGATCATTTCTGTTGCCCTTCTCTGGGTCTTTTCCAAATCTAATAGATCTTTTTTTAGATGGGGTGACCAAATCTGCAGACAGTATTCAAGATTTGGGCGTACCATATAGAGGCAATGGGATATTTTCTGTCTTATTATCTATTTCTTTTCTAATGATTCCCAATCTTTTGGGTTCTTTGGGGGGGAGTTAAGTTTTTAGTTGGCCACTGCACATTGAGCGGATGTTTCCAGGGAACAATCCACAATGATTCCAAGATCTTTCTTGAGTGGTAACAGCTAATTTAGACCCATCATTTTTGTATATCTAGTTGGCGTTATATTTTCCCAAGTACTTTACTTTGCACTTATCAACACTGACTTCCACCTGCCCTCGTGTTGCCTGTTTTGTGAGATCTCTCTCTAGCGCTTTGCGGCCAGCTTTGGACTTAACTAAGTTGAGTCATTTTGTAGTATCTGCAAATTTTGTCACCTCACTTTTTACCCCGTTTTCAGGAAGATTGATAAGTTTAACAGCAAACCCAGCTGCACAACACTCATTGCTACTCTTCCCCCTACCCCCAATCTTTTAAGTACCTGGCAATATTTTCACGATGATCTAAAGTTCCTTCACTTACTTGAATGACCAGTCTTGTTATTCTTAAACACCTGCCTCCCTCTGTTTATAACAAACTCCCTGCCCCAAAGGCAAAGCTGCAGGCAGCTCAAGCTCTGTTGCACTTAAGAACTGCCTCTGGAGCCCAGGGCACTCTGCTTTAAGCAGACTGTAAGTATGAAATCTGGGGGGGCATAGTGTGACGTAGTGGGGGGGAACTTGCTGGTTTCTATGGGTCTGTGGTAACCCCACTGGCTGCCACTGGTACCACAGCCCAGCAGGACAGGGATGGGTCATTATGCAAAGAGGGTCTCTCAACCTGTCCGACCAGCTGACCCCCATGGAGAGGAACAAAGGAAGGTGAATGCTGCCCTGGCTGGGGGGCAGGGCTGGAGGAGAGTGAGTTAGTTTCTGTCTGGGAGCATGGAGGAAGCAGCCTTAGCAAAGGCTGGGGGGTTTAAAAGCCAAGACCCCTGCCCCATATCAAGGGGGGCTGAGTCATCCTAGGCCTGCCCTGGAACCTGATGACATCTGTGCTGTGCTGTATCCTGAAGAAGCAATAAACCACCTCTATTCTACTGGCTGGTGGAGTCTGTTCATACCATTTCGGGGGTGCAGGAGACGGGGGACCCCCAATGCGCCGTCACACATAGCCCCCCTCAAATGACGCCATTGCCCCTCTCTCCGTGTCCATAGGGGACACTGTTGCATAAACTGATCACTCTGCCTGCTGGAAGGTACTGAGACCTGACCTAAAATGTCTTTGCTCTACTTCCTCCTGGTTACACACGCTTCTCTTCCTTCTGACTTTCCACCCCTTTCGGACAAAGTGAAGTCTCCTAAGCTAGCTTTCTGCCCTGTCGTAGGGCTTGTCCACACCAGGAAGCTGATTTGGATGGTGAGGTCGATGCAGACTAGCTATTCCTCCTTAACTGCCTGTGTGCGCACTCGTATTCTGGACTGAGAGAATCTGCACCGGGAGTGGATCAGGAATAACGCCCCATGTAGACAAGCCCCTGGAGCACCACAGAAGAGGGTTCTTGCACCATTATCAGAAGCTCTTCTAAGCAGCTGACCTTCATCTGACCTGCTCTCCAGTAAGGAAGGAGCCAGTGTCGGCTCAGCTCTCATGCCCCCCCTCCAGCTGTATTTTAGCCAAATGCTCTCCTGGGGGTACACTCCGGCTGGGACTCCAAAAGAAACGGAGGGGAATTGGTGCCCAGATCTCCTAGGTGGTGGCTGGGCCCCTGCCTCCCTTGGGAAATCCCAGCCTAAAGCAAAATGTTTGAATGTGGAAGCCTCACGCCAGTGCCCGTGTGTCACTGGCTGGGGTTGTCCAGGTGCCAAGCAGCCATTAGAGGCAAGGCTGCGTGTGCCTGTGATGGGGTGGGCAGGCCGCAGCCACTGGTGGCTGTGTGGGCTGGGGGTGACCCCTGCTGGCCGGTACCTGTAGCTCTGCCCAGCAGGACGGCTGCCTTAAGTCACCTAGGCAAAAAGACCCAACCTGTCTGACCGGTTGAGGACAGGCAGGGAACAAAGGAAGGGAGGTTTCGGGGGAAGGGGCAGTTGCTGGCTGGGGAACATGAAGGAAGCAGCCTGGGCTGAGGGTCTAGTGATGACAAAGAACCCCCTAATCCAAGGGGTCTGAGGCATCCTGGCCCTGACTCCTGAAACCACGTCCCGTCTGTGCTGGGCTGTATCCTGGAGGAGCAATAACCCCTCTCTATACTACTGGCTGGCAGAGTCTCATCTTGATGCAGTCGGGTTGCAGGGTCGGGGGGTGCCCGATGTGCCACCTCAGTGCCCTTTTATTCAGTTTGGACCCTGAGCTCTGGGCCCTGCGGCATTGGCTCTTTCCCCACCCCACAGACTCCCTGTGTCCCTGAACTGCTATTGCTCTGCCCTGAATCTCCTCTGGTCACCCTGGTGCTGGGTGCTGGGGTGCTCTGCAGCATGGCGGTGGGCTGCTGTATTGCATTGCAAGCACATGCCCTGTGGGCCCCTCCCCGCACCCAGGCTGGGCCCAGCTGTGCCAGGTGATCTCCTGCCAGCTCCCAAGAGGAGGTGGGAGCCTGGCCCCATTTCCATTTCTAGCCTGATGGCAGGGGAAGGAAAAGCAGCGAGTCTGAAACAAAGCGGCTGCTTTGCTGGAGCAGACGTCCCCGCAGCAGGACCCAGAGCTGGGGGTCACTGCTGCAGAGACTGGGGAAGAGGTTTAATTGACCAAGAAAAAATATTAGCAGCAGAGCCCAGTGGTGTGGCTGGAGGTGGGTTTCATTTAGCTCCATGCCCGGCGTGGGCACTCACACCCCTCTTATCAATTTGTGTACGATTTGCATTGGCTCATCATCTCGCCATCTGTTTATTACCTTCCACCCTTCCTCCCGCCCCGGGCCCTACGCCATTTCAGAAGGGCAAATTCAGGAGACATCTCTCATCCCAGCAGCTGACCGAAATTAAAATAAAAATTAAGTAGGGTCCCATCCCTCCATCGCAAGGGGAGAGGTTGACAGGAGGTCTGCACACTAGTGCTTATCAAAAGCTCCTTCTCAAATTCATTTCAATATCTGAGCCTCTGGTTTCCAGGGCAACATAATCTTTTCATCAAAGCAACTGGTAAAACCTCTGGGATCTGATATTGTTTTCTTGGCATCATGTCAAAACTGTCATTTGGTTAAAAAATTATGCATACAATATAATATTTATATAGCTGTAGCTGTACGGTGGATATATTTACATATATCGTAGCATATATACACTGCATGTTGTGTATATGTACAAACACACGTATGTAAGTGTGTGTGTAGATGTGATCAAGTCTCTATTCTGTGGAATGAATGGGGGGGGTTATACACATGCACACGTAAGTGTGTTTCCATATGAGCCACTGTGTGTGTGCACGTGAGTGTGTATAATATATACACAACTTCTCCATCCCATGGACTGGAGCCCTCCTGGGATTCCCTGCCCCACAGTCCATCCCTTTCCTAGTGTTGGGGCAGCCATCGACCGCTCAGCGATGGGCTAGGCGGGTGGCTCCTGGTTGTTTGACAGCTGGGGGGCAGCGTTTCCAGGCCCCTAGGGAGGAGCAATGGCCCTTGGAGGTGCCTCCTGTCCCAGCCTGGCACCCCGCCCCTCTGGCGCAGGGAGTCCGCGCCAGTCCCTGCTCGTTGGCTGCCCCAGAGCCCATGGCTTTCCCTGCGCCCTCACCTGGCTCGCTCCCACCCGGGACGCCGCCCTCGCGGTGTGAGCGCCAGCGCTTTCTCTCTGGCCCCGGCCTCAGAGGCATGTGGCTTCTGTGAGGCGGAGGGCCTAAGTGGTAGCGGCTGAGGGTTTCGCTGGGCCCAGGACTAGCGTTCGCAGGCGGCTGGAGATCTCTGGTAGCCTTTGCCTGCCGGGTTCCCCGGGGGGAGGCCTGGTCGTCCCTGCAGGGAGCAGCGTGCTGGCTGCATTGTCCAAGCACAGGTTCACAGCTGCCGCCTTCCCGCCGCAGAGATCTCTGCTCCCCCGTCCGGCCGCTGCCCGGGCAGCGTCTCCGCTGTTCTCCATCAGGGAGCACGGCCCAGTCGAGAAGGCGTTGCTCTCGCAGCCAGAATGCTTGGCTTCCAATCGCAGCTCTGCCCAGGTCCGCCCCGCCCCGCCCTTCGGCTTGTCTATTTCTTAGGCTGGATGCTCTTTGCGGCAATGACTCCCTCCGCGCTGTTCGTACAGCACCTAGCGCCGTGGGCCCCGATCTTGTGGGCGCTGCTAGGCTAGGTGCACCCTGGCACTGCCACCAATAACCAAGGGGCAGCCAAGAAAATCCCTTTCTCTCAGCTCCTCCTCCTTCTCCGGAGTGTCAGAAATGCCTCTTGCCCCGAGTCGCCCTCGGTTCCGCAGCGCAAGCTCCGGAAAGCGGCTCTATCCAGTGGCTCTCTCGTGTCCCGTGGCGGCTGCGCTGCCTTTTGCCTGGGAGAGAACAACTGGAAACCTGGCACGGCTCCAACTTCTTCTCTGTGTGGGAGCGGGGCTAGTGCAAAACGAGAGGGGGCACTTAGGGCTGCATGGGGGCAGCTTGTTGGGGGCATGGCCTGTCTTTGGGAGCCCCCCTCCCCCGGATTTTATGAAATAAACCTGTCTCTGGGCTCCAGGGTTTGTGCTGTGCAGAGAGGTGAGTGAGGAGGGGCCCGGTGCAGTGCAGGGTGGCAGGCAGCCAAAGAGCCGTGCAGGGGCGGTGGAGGGGCCCGTAACACGGCGTCAGTGGTTTTGGCTGCAAATTGTTGTGGGGCTTTGATGGGGCCGTCCTGGGCTCCTGTCCTGCTCGTGCTGTAGAGCGGCAGGGGGGACCGGGGGCCCTCGGAAGCGTGACATCGCTGGAACACATCACACCGTTGCTGCCATCTGTTCCTGAGGCTCAGAGCTGGGCTCCCTGGAGAAATTACAACACCAGCCGGTTTACACTGGCATTGAGAGATGCCAGGCAGAGCTGAATTAGCTTCCGAAGCGAGAGCCAAGCAAGCCAACGCAGAGAGCGAGCTGTTCCGAGTGTTCTCCCCGTGCTGTGGGAGCAGGGGGCGGCTCTCTCATCTCTGTCCTTGCACCTCCTGGGGCTGATGGACCCTGTCTGAAGGGTGGGGCTGTGGTTGGGGGGTTGCAGATTTAGGTCTCCACCTTCCCTTTCAATACAAATCGTGAGCTCTACGAGTAAGAGGTCTGGTGTTCCCAGAGCACAGCCACCCCCACGCACCCCATGTCTCTCCGGCCCGCCTGCTCCAGCCCTCCCTCCTTGGGGGGACGAGACGTTGAGGAGAGGGGCTGGACCACCGAGTGTTGACTTTTACTGAACGTCCTCAGGAGCAGCTGCCACCCAGCGGCCAAACCCACTGCCCCAGGCGGGGGGAATGCCAGTCCCACAGCTCCGCTGTTAGTTGGGCCATAGGGCCGTCGGGTACCTCAAAGGGCTGGAGAAGCCAGGGGTGCCCCACCAGGGGAGGTGCAAAGGCGGGATTTGGACTCTGCGGTAGACAGGACGTTCCCGGTCAGGAGTTGTGGGCGATGCGGGTGGCACAGCCTGGGCAGGAGCAGGCAGTCTCTTCGTCCTGTGGGCGTACAGCGCCTAGCGCCATGGGCCAGGAATAATCTACAGACAACTGCCCCACCACGGCCTTTGGGAAACCCCCTGGCAATTGTCCTCCCCAGGGAGAGGTTGGGCCTGCGACAGGTTGTCCCGGGAGAGGCTCAGTAACAAGCTCCCGCGTTGAGCCATGTGGCCTCTGGCGGCCGAGATGGTGGCTGTCGTGCGAGGATAATCCAGGCCTGTTGCAGTGGCCGAGCTGGGCTGGGAGGGGGGAGGCTGCCTGGGCCAGAAGAGGCACGTGAAGGGGGGTTAACTAGCGGCCTCCCCTTCTTCCCCCCGCCAGGCCCCCAGCGAGTACGAGACCAGCCCGGAGCAGCTCTTCTACCGCATTGCCCACCTCAACCGCGGGCAGCAGTACATGCTGTGGGTGGCGGCTGTCACCTCGGCGGGGCGCGGCAACGTCAGCGAAACGGTCACCATTGAGCCTGCTGGGAAAGGTGCGGAGGGGCAGATGGGAGGGGCTCTGGGGAGCCGTCTGGGGGCATCTGCCACTGGGATGTAGCTCAGAGTGAGCAGCTCTTCTACCGCATTGCCCACCTCAACCGCGGGCAGCAGTACATGCTGTGGGTGGCGGCTGTCACCTCGGCGGGGCGCGGCAACGTCAGCGAAACGGTCACCATTGAGCCTGCTGGGAAAGGTGCGGAGGGGCAGATGGGAGGGGCTCTGGGGAGCCGTCTGGGGGCATCTGCCACTGGGATGTAGCTCAGAGTAGCGGCCCACTGACCTTCCCTGCTCCCCGCAGCCCCGGCCAAGATCATCTCCTTCGGCGGCACCGTCACCACCCCTTGGATGAAGGATGTGAGGCTGCCGTGCAATTCGGTGGGGGAGCCGGCCCCGGCCATCAGATGGACGAAGGACAGGTAACGAGCGCCTCCCTTTCCCCCTCTCTGGGCGCTGGCAGGAGGGAAAAGCTCCCTCCTTCCCGGAAGGGCTGATCTTTCGTTTGCAGGCGCTGCCTGGCCCTTGGTCAGTGGAATGGCAGGGTGGGGGGGCGCCCCTGCGGGCTGCCTGCGTCCCAGGCGCCAGGAGCGTCTCGCTGCCGGGAGGCTGGGGCAGGGCTTCCCGCTGATGAGCTGCCGGCCTGCCTTGTCCCTTGCAGCGAGGATTCTGCCATTCCCGTGGCCGTGGATGGACACCGGATGATCCAGGCCAACGGCACACTGGTCCTGCGCTCGGTGAAAGCAGAGGATTCTGGGTATTACACCTGCACCGCCACCAACACCTGGGGCTTTGATACCATCATCATCAACCTGCTGGTGCAAGGTAAGTGTCAGCCGGGTACCCTGCCTGGCCTGCTCTGCCCTCGCCCACGTGGCCCTTCGCGACCCATCTGCTTGTTGCTGGAAATGGCCGGACAGGGATTTTCTGCAGACACGTCTCGGCCTCTGGGGCTGCTGGGCTGGCTGGTGGAGCAATGTGATTAGCCCCGACCTCACCTGCAGGTTTCTCCGAAGCCATTGGCGCTTTGCCACCAGTCGGGTTTTGTTTTACACGTGGGTGAGTTTTGCCCACGGGCTGGTGAGTGGCGCCGGGCGATGCGCCTGTTGGCTGGTCCTGCTCTCGTTACTGGGGCGTCGTGAGAGCAGAGAGCAGCCAGCCCAGTGCCCCATGCGACGGAAGCCAGGAGGTGGGGGGCTAGCCGGCCGGGGGCTAGTGATGCTCACGCTGCAGCAGGGAGGAGAGACGGGATTGTGTTGGTTTCTGTTCCAGGCCCAGCTTACTCTCAAGCCTTGTGCATTACGCCAGGGCTGTGTCTGGGTTGCTGGGGGGACGTCCAGAAAGGCTGATTGATGCAGAATTTACAAAAAAAATCCTCTCGTGCAAATATCTCCCTCCACATTGGGTTTTGTAAGCCGGCCCTAAATCCTGAAGCTCAGGGTTCCAGCCATTCCGCTGTCTCCACGCCGGTGAAGCTGGGAAGCTGCGTCTCTTCCTGGCTGGGTGACAGGCTAGGGAGCCGTCCTGGGCACGTGGGCATGGGGCGTGTATTGGAAAGGAACTCCACAAGGGTGCAGAGGCCTGACTCCGGTTCCAGGGTGCGATGCGCTCAGTGACTTCGTGCTGTTTGTTCGATCTAGTCCCGCCCGACCAGCCGCGCTTGACGGTCTCTAAAACCTCCGCTTCGTCCATCACGCTGGCCTGGATTCCTGGGGACAACGGTGAGGCGGGAGAGGCTGGGCAGACGCAGGGCTGTGCTGCTCAGTGCTGAGATCCCCTTTTCCAAGGAGGAGAGGACGTGGCAGGAATCCTGGGGACTCTGCACGCCTTTCCCAGGAAGGGCTGTGTCTGCTGAGAGGCGCAGGGGTGGCCTGCCGCGTGTGAGCCCCTGGGTTTGCTTTGCCTCTGGGGCAGCAATGCCAGCTGGAGGCACCAGGCCTCGAGCAAGGACGGGCTAGCGGCTCTGACGCTCCGGATGCTAGCACGCTAGGGCTTAGCTCCTGGAGAGCCCCACGGCCTTCTGAGGTTAATGCTGAGTCTGTGCCCTGGCGTGTGCCCTTGGCCCAGGAGACTCTGGCGTGGCCCCGTGCTGGCCTGTCTGTTGTGGCTGGAGATGCTGTGTCATTTGTGCTGCCTGCCCGCCACACACAAAGCCCAGAGCCTTCCGGGTACAGCGCAGATGTAAAAAGCTGGGTCTGGGGCAGGCAAGTCGGAAGAAGAGGGCTCTATTTCAAAATAAGTGCTGTGTAGACCCTCCCAATTTCGAAATAAGCTATTTCGAAAGACGTAGCTCAAGTTGTGTAGCTTATTTCGAGTTAAGCCCTGCAGTGTAGACACACCCAACCATGGAGAAAGGGGCAATGTTGCAGAAAGAATTTTTTTAGAAATATTGTGGGGTGGGGAGAGTGGAATTTGGGGGATGCTCCTGGATCTCCTGACCTAGGGGAATAGAGAACTCCAAATGGAGAAAATCTCAAATCATCTGGTCTAGACCTGCCTGCAAGAGAGAAGCTGTTGTTGTAAAAAAAGAGAGAGCTCCTGAGATGAGGAGCAAAGAGGCCTGGTTAGAGCCTTCCGGGTACAGCGCAGATGTAAAAGGCTGCGTCTGGGGCAGGCAGCAGGCTGGGAAGAGGGAGCGGCCCCCGCTGGGTGCTGGGAACGGAGGGTCAGGACTCTCGTGCGCTGTTCCCGGCTCTGAGAAGGAGCCTTCGTCCGTGGCTTAGGGCTAAGAAGTGGGAGCCTGGACTCCTGGCTCTTCCTTCCACCCGTTGCTGCCGGCGCCAGGCGAGCGGATGGCTTGGTCTGTGCCTGGCTCCCCTCGCCCAGGAGGGTGACGGGCTGCAAGTCTCAGGTGAACGGCCTGTGAAGTGTTTTGACAAGATCCTGGGAGTGAAGTGGCTAGAAAAGCCAAACCTCTAATTGCTCTTTCTGGCTGCCTAGGAGAGCTCTTGTAGCTGCCCGGACCGTGAGCAGGGTCATCTCCTGCCTCCGCTCCCTTCCCCAGCAGAGCTCACGCTGCTGGAGAGCGCGAGGAATTTCCTGGCTTCCCGAACCCTCCTTTCTGCTCTGATTCATCTAATGAATTCTGTGTTGAAGCAGCTGCAGACGGGGTTGGGGGGAACAGAGACCTCACTTACAATTAATTAAAAGCATGAAAGTAATTACAAGCAAATCTCCCCAGCCAGCAGCCTTTCACTTCAATGGACTCCGTTGATAAATTTGGTTATAATTGGATTAGAAATATTAAAAACAGGCTGCCTATAAAAATAAATAATTAACGACCGGTGGGTGTCTTGTCCCGGCGCATCGTGGCGTGAGCCTTCCGCACAGGAGCCCGTGGCCTGTTTTAATGCCCCGTCTGGGGCTCTGCCTTCCGCGGAGCTCCGTGGTGTCGGCCTTGCGTGGTAGCTGGGGAGCCCTCGGTGCAGAGGCCGGGGTGCTGCCAGCTTCCTCTGGGCCCTGGACGGGCCCCTGGGAGAAGATTGTTGGAGTCCCGGCGCTGTGCTGAGCCCAGCGCTAGCGAACCGAGCTGACTCTCGCGGCATTCCCGCAGCTGCAGCAGCGCGGGGGCGGGGGTGGCATGGGCAGTCACAGGCGTCCGCAGGCCACGGGCACTGGGGAAGAGGCACAGAAATGTCCTGTGTTCGGCGTGTGCCCCTGCAGTTCTGGGAGGGGCAGACCCAACACTCAGTCCAAACCGCTGAGATTCGCTTGGTTTTTATGACGCGGGGCCACACGCTGCAGCAAACAATGTCGCACCTGAACCGGCCCTGGATTGCGACAGGGCACGAGCCCAGGCCCCTCAATCCATGGCCTTCCTCCAGAGCTGGAAATGTGCAGTGCAGTGTGGAATCAGGACTATTTGGGGTGAGGCTTCCCTGGGCACATGCGTGTTAATAACAACACGCTGCCCTGGTCTCACGCCTTCATGCTGCGTCTCTGGGCTCTGCCAGGGCTCAGGGATCCAGCTGCACCCCCCACACCGAGACGTGGCTCAGTATTCCTGCCCCGTCGCCCTGAGGGGTAAACCCAGGGGCAGGAAGAGAAAGGGACTGGCTCAAAGTCTCAGACACAGCCACTAGCAAAGTTGGGAACAGAACCCAGATCTCCCTGCATAGAGCCTAGGCTGGCGCTTGAGAGCCCTGAGGTGTAGTCCCAGCTGCTGGTGACCTTATGCAAGTTCTTGACCTGCTCAGTGCCTCAGTTTCCTCTCCCACCATGTGTCTGCCTTGTCTGATTAAATTATGGGTTCTTTACGCCGTGGGTTATCTCTTAGGCTTTGTCTACATTGCAAGGTTTTTGCAGCAGACAGTATGCTAATGACAGACTCATTAGCATGAGTTGTGATATCATTAGCATATTTTCTGCTGATGCTTTTTGCGCGAGGGGGTTTTGCGCAGAAAGAAGCAGTGAAGCCGCTTCTGTTTTGTGCAAAAAAACCCTTTTGCACAAGATCCTGCTGCCCCTCCGGGTAATGTAGACAAAGCCTTACGGTGCGTCTGTCCGTACCACAACTAGCACAAGAGAGCAGCAGCTTTGACATCTAGGTGCTACCGTAATGCCAGTTCCTTTAACGACACCACCTTTCCCTCTCTTTTGGGTCGCCGGTGAGTATGCATGTGGATCATATTGTAGTAAAACAAGCGCACTTGTCCCTGTGATCAAATATTGTCAGACCGTCAAGTCACACAGGTGTCCAGGTGAACATTACCCGATTCCTTTGAATATTCATTCATGAATTTGACTCATGACGCACATTTGCACACACAGGGGCCTCTCTTCCTGTTCTATTTTTGTTTAAGAATGAGTGAGAGTAAATGCAAAAATAAACAAACACGAAAGTTGAGATTTGCATATAGATATAAAGTTGAGTCAAGATTCCCATGGAAACAATAAGTCATCAGCATTACCCGCCAACAGTGACATGAACCCCACCCCACTCACTCGTTAGAGTGTCTAATAACTGTAACTGTGTAGTGTGTGTGTGTGTGTGTGTGTGTGTGTGTGTGTGTGTGTGTGTGTGTGTGTGGGGTCCTATGTGGGATCCTTCAGCTATAAATCCGTCTGAGATCAGTGTGGAAACATCTGTGAAGTCATGCACAGTCCTGCGTTACCTGATGCAGCAGACAGTCCCTGGCTCTCACTGTAAACGAGGTTTACAGGAGCGGTCGACAAAGGCTTCCCTTGTCGACCGATCCCCGGCTTGACTCGCGCTCTGTGCCAACAATCAGCTGAGCCGGCACAGCGCGGCGGCCATTTTTATTTTAATGAAGCTGGGGATATTTAAATCCCCGTTTCATTGACTATGTCGTGTAGCCTATTTTACATGCCCCTGTCGGCAGAGGCACGTAGTCTAGACATACCCTCTGTTCTCAGCCACAGATCAGGCTGGCCCAAGGTGTAACAGTGTCACTATTCCCTCATAGCTACATGGGCCAAATTCTCTGTGTAAACAAGCCTACAGTTAAAGCAACAGTATCATGTATTGAATCATACAACGGGAAGGCACCTCAAGATGTAAACCTCTCCAGTCCCCTACACTCATGGCAGGACCAGCTACCGTCTAGACCAATGGTGGGCAGCCTGCGGCCCATCAGGGTTCTGCGTGTGGCCTACAAGACATTGTGTCTTCCTAGCAGTATTGCTAAGGTGGTACGCATGGGAGGTGTGTGCAGACGGCACACGACAGTGACCGGGAGAGCCGTGCGCTCCCTCTGCTTCCTGTCACCGCGCTGCTACGGTTCAGTCGGCACCCTGCAAATTCTAGGTGCGCAAGCACAGTGAGCAAAACTGCCCTCGCCCAGGAAACCACATAGCGGCTCCCTGACATGGAGGAGGGTCACTTGTGCGGTCCATGCGCTAGCCTGGGCTTCCCACCGCTGAGCGAGGCCATCGCAGACTGGTCTGTCTGACCTGTTCTTGAAACTCGCCAATGATGGAGATTCCACAGCCTCCCTAGAATTTTGTGTGTGTGTGTGTGTGTGTGCGTGTGTGCGCGCGCGTGTGTTATTCTTTGCGTGCGTGTGTGTGCGTGCGCGTGTGTATTATTCTTTGCGTGCGTGTGTGTGCGTGCGCGTGTGTATTATTCTTTGCGTGCGTGTGTGTGCGTGCGCGTGTGTATTATTCTTTGCGTGCGTGTGTGTGCGTGCGCGTGTGTATTATTCTTTGCGTGCGTGTGTGTGCGTGCGCGTGTGTATTATTCTTTGCGTGCGTGTGTGTGCGTGCGCGTTATTCTTTGCGTGCGTGTGTGCGCGTGTGTGTTATTCTTTGCGTGTGTGTGTGTGCGTGTGTGTTATTCTTTGCGTGCGCGTGTGTGTGTGTGTGTGCGCGTGTGTTATTCTTTGCTGTGCGTGTGTGTGTGTGCGCGTGCGTGCGTGTTATTCTTTGCATGCGTGTGTATGTGTGCGCGTGCGTGTTATTCTTTGCTGTGCGTATTCTGGAGTAGCAAGGGGATCGGCTCAGAAGAACAGTCACCTCATGGAAGTCTCGCAACAGCTTGTGGGTGTGTCTGCGAACCTGCCTCGCTCCCCCATTCAGCCCCAAGAGCCATTTTAAGCCATGTTGTTGATGGGCGTGTAACAGGTTTATTCATCTAGGACCCAGTGTGTTTCCTAATGCTCTAAATCATGTGAAAGGAGGCAGCATTCAATGACAGAAGCAACTTCCTTGCAGCTTCCCAAGGGAGCTAGTTAATTCTGGCTTTCCTTTTATAGCCTCTCTCCAATCAATCACGTTCCACACTCACCGCACTCTGTTGCGGAAACCAGTAATTGGTGAAAACGCTGTGGATGGTGCCAGGTAGGGCGCGTTGTGTCCCAGGCAGAGGTGGGGAGAGCGGAGCCACCGGAATCCCGGGCCCGCGGGAGGCATCTGCTGAAGGGGCCAGGCTTTCGTGTGCTTTTCCCAAGGCAGAGTGGGAGAGCGAGCCGGGTTCGGATGGAGGGGCAGAGGCTCGGGCCCCAGGGCTGTGAGCCGTGTGGGGAGGTGGGGAGCAGACCCCAAGCTGCAGGCTTGCTGAGGGTGGGTGGCAGGGCCGTGTTGTTCCGGGCTTGCACCAGAACGCTGCACCTTGCACTGTCCTCTGTTACCCCATGTCCCTCCCCATGCTCGCCAGCCCTGCCCCACAGCACACCTGTGCCCTCTGGGCCGGCCACACGCCTCGGAGGGGTGGGTTCCGGGATGTGGTGGGTGATCTGCCCTGTGTCCGTGGGGCTGCCAGGTGCCCGGCTTTGCACCGGATAGTCCAGTGTTGGAGCTTTCTGTCCGGGAGCCGGGGAGGGGGAGGACGGGCGGGTGCAGCTCTCCACTCAGGTGCGAGACGGCGCGTGCTGAGCGCGGCTGTGTAAGGGCCAGTCTAATCCCCAGGAGCCAAGCACCAGCCTAATCCCTCGGATTACAGCACCCCGGCTGCCCTCGGCCGCTCAGCATTTCTCCCACGCTGGTGCGCGCTGCTTGGATCCGGGCGTCTGCCTCTGCTG